TGCCAATCAAATGAGTCAGCTGCAACTTCTCCAGATCTTCCTTTGTCACAAACTTGTAATTATCGTAAATAGTTGTTTCTCCTGTTTCCTCCATCTCTTCCTGAACACAAGATTTTAAGAAAAGAAAAAAGTGTTTAGTAACAATGGTCACACCAGATTTGGAAAAACATTTTGAATCAGATAGATACCGTTAGGTTTTCAAGAGGAGAACACCATTTGGGGGCAGGACCAAGTTCAGGTATGAAGTAAGATGGGATTAGGTTAGAGTCTAAAGCAAGAAGCATAAGCCCACTTCCAGGGAACACACAAATGTCGTTTATTCCTCCTTGTTTCGGTTGAATGCTGGTCATACCTTCTCCCTATAAAAAAAGTGGTGGTTATCAAAAGCTGTATCTATACTTAATAAAAACAAAAAAGCTGTTTCTAGCCAAACTTTGTAGTATTTCAATACGACAACATATTTTTTTGCCGTGCCGAAGCCCATACTCTCCTTATTAGACCAGGGACAAGAGCCGAACCAAACCTGGTACCTCCACCCTTAGTACAGAAAGGTTTTACCAGTAGAGATAGCAGCTTCGGGTGACAACATATGTTACTGGAGGCTTACCGTATTAGGATCCCATATTTTAACACTGTGCTTGTCAGTAGTAATCAACTTTGGTTCTTGAGTGTTAAGAGTCCGTTGCCACTTGATACTCAAAATTGAGCTCTCGTACCTAAGTTTTGCACCAAAAAAAAAAAAAAAGACATTGAACACTGAGGAAATAAACCTAAAGTTATAGCTTATGTAATGAATTTCAAGTTCGTAATACTTACATGTGATCCTTCACATGTATGGGAGCTGAAGTGCGCAAGTCGTATATGAATACCTGTAGATAGCAGAACAACACAATCAGCAAAGCATAGCTATATAGCCAAACTGAAATGTAGAATCAAACCTTTCCGGCACTACTCCCGACAGCTACTTGAAGACCATCACTGTCATCAAACTCTATAGCAGTAACCTCCTATCAGCCAATAAAACAAAAAACACGCCAAATCACGTCTAAGCTACAAATGTCTATCTGTATATAGAGCATATGTTAGAATAATTACTGCAGCAGCATCACCACCATGTGCAACCGCATTGATTCTAGCAGCACATGACTTCATCCTCATATCGAAGCATTCAACAGCACCATCCTCACCACCACAAGCTATTAATCCATGTATATTGCTGGATGACAAAAAAAATAAATATAATGCTGAAACGTGAAACAACAGTGATCTGAT